TCTAATGTGCGAGTGTAAAAAATTATTAGAAATTCAGTAGTTTTAAGGAAATGAAAATGAAATGCTTGGTATGTAAAATAACGCCCTAACCATATAAAAAAACACATTATTAAAAACTGAAACACAGTTAAAGATGAAGGGCATTAATATAAATGTCACTAAAAGCATTAATAGCAAGACTATTGAATGTAAACCTGAGGGGTAAGCAATGAGATAGAAAGAAAGCAGATGGCTCAGAAAATGAAAGAAGAACTTCAAAGAAAAGATGCACTAAAAGTAAATGTACAAATGTAGCTTGTTTTAAAATTAGTTAATTTATTTCAGGCTCCAGATTCAGATAATTACAACTTAAATATTTTTGAGAAGGTACGTGTGATTGTACTTATCTCTGGGGCTATTGGTTACCTTTGTGGGAAAAGAGAACACAGCAAAAAGGGGTGTTGTTGTTTTTTAAATAAATCTTTCATGACTTTTTTATATTCATTCAGAAATGGTTTTACATGTTTACAGTAATTAAAGGAAACATTGCTAACTCAGTTCAGTATTTAAAACTTTTAATGAATTAAAATGCTTAGAATTTATTCTCTTATCTTCTTCCTGATTCCTGCAATTATGTTTCATTTTAAACACAGACTCCTCCACCATTATATATAAAAATGCAATATGAAATAATAGTTTTCAGCTCTTCATAAAAATGCCATATATTTGGAATTCAAATATAATTATTGTGAGAGTTATTTGGTTCTGGAAAAATAATCTCTGAAAAGATCATCACAATCAAACTCCCTTTATCTGAGTGTGAGAATGACTACAATAACAAAAAATCAAAATGTATGAATCGTTTATTCTGTGGTTTTACATTTCCAAAGGACTTCATCTACCTTGCAGATTATCTTCACTCAAAGTTACTTTGGAACTTAGATAAATAAAAAGAAAATCCAATGTAATACAGTTTATGGATATAAAATATGTTCATAACCAGCTAAATACATGTTTTAATATGTTAATATCCAGATAAATACATGTTTTTATATATATATATATATATATATATATATAAGCACATAAGAAAAATGTGCTTATATATATATATGTATATATATATATATAAGCACATAAGAAAAATGTGCAACATCACACATGAATATAATAAAACTGGACTCATGGCCTTGAAATTTCTATGTTTTTTGGGTACCAAAAAGTAGCAAAAAATTTAATGCCATTCATATAAAATAAAAAAGGTTTTAATAGTAAATATTTTGTAAATATATCAAATTATTATTCTAAGATAGCTGCATTAATATGTTCAATGGGATTGATTTGCTATTAATTTTAATATGAATAAATTATCTTTGAACACATCGTACTATCAGTCCATGGAATTGCATTCTTTTCACATAGGGGAATAATATTTAAAAGGAAAAGTATTGCCTTTTCCTTTTATGGAATACTGAGAAACTGGGGGGCTTTTGCTTACTTTGAAAATAATAAGGACCTTCAAATTCTCTTTATGAGATTGTTTTAAGGATTTTATGTTAACCACAAGGTATCTCTAATCTTTAAATTCTCTAAATTTCCCCTGTTTTTCATTCCTCTATTTTAATTCACAGTGACTATGGACCCATTATCAGATTTTGGAGACATCCAAAATACTCATTTGTATCTGAGTAGAAACCATACTTTAGAAGGAACTCTTTGAAACTTGAAAATATATGCTATGTATATGTATTGTGTCATGGTTATATGTATAACTATACATTACATATGCATATATCATAGCACATATGTAATAAGAGTTCATCAATTATCTTATGAAAATATATTTTAAACTTCATCTCTTAAAAGTAAACCATGATTTAAAAAAAAACACTAAATAAAACAGTTCAATGTTGAAGTGTATTTCCATTTGATTGTCTATAATCAACCTTTACATTTTTAAATAATCCTGTCCGTGGATTAGAATCAGCCACTCCTGAGAAATACAATTCATAGTGGAGTGTACACATCTACAGATACCCACAAATACCATTAAAATCCTGGCGTTTGTTTTGTTTTTAAATAGTGAAGATTTTGGTAACAAGTAATTACTAAAGCTCATCTCATTATGATCTATCTATGACAATATAATGAACAAATCTCACTTAAAAGAGTTTCAAATATAAAAAGTCTAACTCTCAGTTACAGATAGTTTATTTCTCCCTGTGTACACAGAATGTTGTGTGTGTGTGTGTGTGTGTGTGTGTGTGTGTGTGTGTGTAGTTTAATGGGAGGGATGCTGTTTATTCCACTATATCTTACCACTCTGTCTCTTTGGATAACAATCACAGGACCCAGATGCTAAGGGTAAGGGATATTTTCCCACAAGCAGCTTCTGGCTCCTTGGCAGACGTGGTAGGCAGTTGTGTTGGCAGCCACAGACCTGCCCCTGGCTCTCTTGTGTGCTTTTGCTGCTGAAGGGTGGTCGGCCTGCCCTATCCTCCTGGATACTATTTCCCTTGACACAATTGGATTTTGTGAAGCTTTAGTCTGCCCAAATCCCTTCTGCAATCTCTGGATGAACTCGCTAAGGCCCAAACTAGAACCATGTTTTACAGTTGTGCTTAATGAGCAGTTGAATCACCAGGTTAGGTACTCAGGAAAAAAAAAAAAAAACAAACAAAAAACTTTTCTACTCTCTGGAACCATTTTATCTGTATTTCTTTGTTTCACCCTGTACACAATGTATATACACTTAGCTGCTAGGATATTGGCTAAGTGATTTTGTATAAATACCACGTTTTGTAATTTTTGTTGTAATCTATGTGATATTTTGAAAGCGTTCATTGTTTCCCCATATTCATTGTCATGAACAATTTTTCAGATTATAAATGGCAGCACATAAAATATCTGTTATAAAACTCAGAGGAAGGAAACTTGTGATTTTAATAAGTGACTGAGAAGCAATTTGAGGGAATATAAGTTGTGTGCTTGTGAAACAGAAGCAGAAGTGGTACCTCACTCCTCACATGCTTGGTATCTGAATGACATTTTAAAGCATATGTCTAAGTTGTACAAACAAAAGCAGGCAGCAGAAACAAAGCAGGTTTCAAAGACACCAATATGATTGTCTACCCAATAATTTGTACGACATTTTCACACATTTCCTTACGATGATATCATAAACATCACCAGTGTATCAGAGACTCAGTTATTCTCTGGCTTACTACTTGTGGCTGAACACAACCCTGAAGTCAAAACAGTATTTTTCTAGAGCAATAGCTACCTTGTACTTTCTTTATGCATTAGTTTTTTAAGTTTTCTAAAAGAAATATCAGGCATATTTTGCACTAAAATGTCCATTCCAATGAACAAAGTCACCTTTGAAATGAATTGCTTACTATTGTAGATTTTCATCCTTTGGGGTTAAACTCTCCTAGTTATCCATGTTATAGTTTATAGTTAAGCAACTGAACTGCTCAGCAATGAAAAATATATTCAAGTTGTATGTGGGATTTCAGCCACTTTTTATAGTAGTCCTTGTATACTTTATGGGGGAATTTTGAATTTTCTGGTAGGTACAGTAATCTTATATATTCAAAAACCAATATAATATAGAAAGTAAGTTCACTAAAGCTGCAAGGAGAAATGAGAATTGTATATACCTTTTTGTCTAGCTATATTCATTTTTCTAATAATGTCTTTAATAGTGAATTTTCTGTGAAGTCAAGTATATCCTTATTATGCAGTGTTCTGTGATCCATGTGCTCAGCGTAGAAATGACCGTATTTCACCATGATTCCAAGCTTTATGATTTATGAAAGTATCCATGTGTTGGAAGTGCATTCCTTGGTAAAGCTGCACAAAATTTCAAAGGCTGATGAACTTAGGCTACAGCAAATGTAAATAATTATTCTTATTTTTGTTCCTCTTGCTATTTCTTCAATATATAACACTTATAGAAACAATAAATGTTAAATAGTTCATGAGATGTTTTGACCTCTCGCCTAGTTCTAATGGGGAAATACAACACTTTTGGGAAGATTTTGATGAATGTTTGCTTCTCATTTTCTGTCCTGTGTAAGAGGTCCTGGGATTGTAATTACATATCTATATAAATTTAGATCATACTTCTCTGTGGATTTTTCTTTCTCAGAGCTAAGTATTTACACTATTGTTCACAAACTGAACCTAAGGAGTAATTGTGAAGAAATTTCAGTTACACCAAAAGAATCGCAAGTGGCAATCTCCAAAATAATAAAGCAAAATGCAAACAAAAAGTATTTTTGATTCTCCCTCTACCAGTAGGTGTCACTATTGGGACTATAAGGTGGTAATCTTAATACAGAATTCTCTGGAAGATCATGCCTTGCCTTTGTAGTGCAGAAGGTAGTGTATGAAGGCTAACCCAAACACTCCGTGAATATACCCCGCACCCCAATGTGAAGTCATTAGAAATATGAAACTACCCTCCAAAAATATGTTGGCCAGTTCAACAACATAACAGTTCAACAGCAAAATACCTCATGGAGTTTTGGAAGACATGGTAGAATAAAAGTGAATAAGTAGTATCTTGATATGATCAGATTTTAAATAATATTTAAGATATAATGTAAACGTCAAAAAATCTAAAGAAAGTTAGAGCTTTGCATTTTAACAATTTCATGGTTTAACATTTTCTTTTACTTCATAACCCACATTTCAACAATTGTAGAGTCAAGTCATATTTTTTAAATAAAAATAAGGTAAAAGTTACTATATTTCCTGTGTGGAAACAGAATAAATATTATTATATTGTTTGGTTTTTTGAGACAGGATTTCTCTGGGTAACAGCTTTCTTTGTTCTGGAAATTACTTTGTAAACCAGGCTGGTCTCAAACACACAGAGATCCACCTGCCTCTGCCTCCTGAGTGCCGGGATTAAAGGCGTGTGCCACCATACCTGGATCAGAATAAATATTCTTTTTTTCCAACATCCAAAGCTTTTTTTTTTTTTTAATAACAGTAAGATCCAGGGTTAGTTTTTATAGCCACGGCCGGCCCTTCTGCCTTTGGCATGTTCGAACTTCCAACTTCCAGCCCTTGGAATAGACATAGGGTTTGGTATGGCTGTGTGGCGTTCCTGGGGCCTTGCCAAAATGCCAGTATACCTTTCGACCCTTCCGAGGACCAGACAAGAGCACAGTGCCTCGGCCCTTGGGAGACTCCAGGGCTAGCTGGTCAAAGGTGAGGATCTTGCCCCAGCCTTCAGGATGCGACTGGGATCCTTGCTCCGAACCTTTAGGTCCTTGTTGTGTCGAATGTCAACACCCATGATGGCGCCTCCTGCTCGGCCAGGTCCGGAAAGACAGAACTGCAGAATATTCTTATCCTAGGAAATGGTTAATAATATAAAAATCTGGTTTAAAAGTCTGACTTTTTGCCTCCACAAGTTACTTTAAAAACCGTGAAGCCAATTTTAACTTAGTGTGCTACAGTGATATTTACATGTTAAATTACAGCTATTACCTGTTATTATGGCATGGCAGAGCACTTTTAAGATTTACCAAAAATAATTTCAAATATATTTCACTTGAAGATTTTTCAGTCCTTTGTTAATGTAAAGAATATGTGTGAAGTTGTGGAAAAAACCATAATCCCCACACTTACAATATAAGAAATAAAATTTCCTATATGGAATAGTAACTACAATAACCTGTCATCTCGTTGTTGAGTAACTTAAAATATCTCAGGATTCCAAACAGCTCATACATCAGAGCTCTATAGACTTTTTTTTTTTACTACCTGAGAACAATCAATCAGACATGACAAATGTGAGAATGGCATTATTTAGTATTTTGTATAGTATGTTGAATGATGATGTAGCTTGTGTCAAACTTTCCAATAAAAGCAGAAAGTCGTAGCCCTGCTTGCTTTTCCTGGGCAGTTCCATCAGGTCAGCTGCGCTGAGAGAAACTCACCAGTAGAGGCCTCTCTAGATTTAACTTCTGATTAAGAACTCAGATTGTGCCTTCAATTCACTGTCGTTAACACAACTACTTGAAAAGGCTCTTGTTGCATAGGAAAAAAGATCACTCTTTAATGCCCTTTTAAGTTCCATGATGTTGATTAATGTTGCCCTTTACATTAATGATGTTTCAAGTAAAAGAAAACAAATTTAAAATGGATAAATTCTATTGAGGATGCATTAATTAGACAGAGAGTTTGCCATATGCTGTGGCTGGAGGGCTTGCTGGCCTTTCTCTTGTAGTTACCTGTGTAAAATCCACCCTATCCTCTACATGAATGCCCAAGCTGAATAGCCATTTGAATGAAGGCTTTAGTTTGATTCGCCATACAAGGGGTACTGTGTCACTGTGTTTTCTTTCTAGGAGTCACTAAGTGATTTCTATATCTGTTGTCATGGTGATATGGCAAAGCAGGGGAAAATGGGGGCAACTTGAGGCTTTCTCCTCACCCTCGGCACTAAGATGTTGTTAGCAAGCCTATAAAACATTGGGCTTTATCTGGGCCTTCTTTTTGTTCTCTGATTGTCAATAAAACTCATTTTAAGGGTAACAAGGACATCTAAATGTCATCTGTCACAGTGTTAGAGAGATTAAGTTTGTTTAGGGACTTGTGTGGGACAAAGGCCACTATTTGTTCCATGGATACAAAGCAGTGTTGGCTATCACCACTCTTGATTTAGAAGGCAGCCCAGAGATCATCAAGGAAATATCATCTCAGTTCCAGGTGACAGAGAGATCTCTTTGACTTGATAGCATTACAATGAGAGAAAAATATTACTGTTCTGAATGGGAATCAGCAATTCCAAAACCCCGTTCTGGAGGCCTGACCGAAAGTCTCCCCCTAGAGCAAAGGAAAGAAAAGAGTGAGGGTCACAGATCTGTTTTAAAACGTGACATACACATGATGGCCCTGAATGAATGATAAAAGAGGGAAGCAAGGGTTTGCAAGTACAGTGCAACAATAATGTGCATTCATTAATTCAGCATTTGCTTAGTAATGAGGCTAAATGGAACATACAGATTAATGAAGACATTGGTATTATTAAAATCAAATCCTGTGGTTCATATGCTTTTCTTAATAATGAACACTGTGGCTATTGGAGAGGAAGAACAGGATTTTTTCTATTAATTTGGCACACATCCCAGATCTCATTCAAGCAGAACCTATCCCTGCAAAATGCAGCCCATAGCCTTATAGATCTCAGTCCTTGTATGCAATGTGTGTTAATTTGAGAGAAAAATATTTTCCCTTCATAAAATGTCTTCAAAACAAGAACCTGGGGCCTAAGTAGTAGTTGAATAATATTAGAAGTAAGAGGATTCTTCTAATATATAGTGTGGTTGGGAAGTCTATACAATGACAAGAATAGAATGAAGGGCTCACATCAAATCTGCCTGTACTGTGTAAATTGATGCAGCTCTCTCGGGGGGGAGGGGGGGGCTTTTAGCCTTGTTACATCAGCACATCCCCAACACATTTCATAGGAGATATTTATGGTAGAGAAGGCAAGTGTGTTAAAACTTAGATAAACTAAGGTAGATGTGGCCAGCTTATAAATTTACTAGGTCCTGATAATAAAATATGAAATTTGAACAGGAGCAGAGTACTATGATATGCTTTTTCACCTATTTCTATCTGCACCACACTCTATGCACACAAGAACATCGCATGGACAGCAGTTCACATTTGGGAAGATAATGATAAACTCCCTAATAATTATGGTTCTATGGAGAAAGAGTAAATAGAGTTGGTGATAGAATGGTATGGAAATGCATTACTCTGGTTTAAGGATAGAGTACACAATAAAAATATATTTAAGAAGGTAATGTTTGTTTATATGTGTATTTGCATGTGTGTATGTATATACTCGAGTGCCCTTAATATATGCTTTCTCTAGCATTATTTGAAAAATATTTTAATCAGAGTGAGAAACTTCTGACTATACAACAATCAACTCGTGAGCAAATCTTATTTTATTAGATAAATAAGCTAAAGTTAAAGACTAACATCTACATCTGGAACACGTAAAGCACAAAATTCTGCAAGTTACACTACTCAGAGTTATAGATGACTGTGATACCAAACATGTGTAAGTATTAGGAGGAACTACAGCTGGACTCCTCAAAAAAAAAAAAAAAAAAAAAAGATTCCTGGAGCTAATTATCTTCAACCCTGTGTGATTATTTTTAAATTAAAAAGACTTATTCTATACAAACTAATAAAAACAAATACAGTATTGAGATGCTGTTACAGTCATATTATGGGCCTAGATGACTTTTGTTTAGCATCTTAATAGCTCACTCAATTGTTATTCATTCAGCCACACACAGGACACCAGGGTGTTCGGAAGGACAATGCTCCTGGGGCATATTGAGTTCAATTTGTGTTTCCCTACTTATGCAGAACATGTGTTGGCATCAGCTATGGTTACCACAGGGGAATTGCAATATACGATGAAGTTTTTATCACATTGTTCTTAGATAATATTTCCTTTTCCAAACACAATCCTTAGGACAGCAGAAGAGGAGAAGAAGAGGCTTGGTGCATTGCTATCAATTGTATGAAGTGTGTGCTTTCTTCTCAGTTTTAAACATATTTATTGCACTTTTCAGAAAAAAAAAGAGCTGTATGAAAGAATAAAAAGCAAATTCATCACAAAGGTAAAAAAGGTATATTAGCTTTTAAAAATAGGTCCTCAACAAGTAACATAATTGTAACTAGAAACAAGGTCGCCTAATAGATCTTGAAATATACTGAAAGTAACACACACAATGTGTGTACATGAGTACACTTGGCATTTTCTACTTTGTTTCCAAGAGGGTATCTTGTTATGCTAGAGAAATCTAGCTTTCAGAGTCAGGGTGATTCTAATGAGAAAAGCAGAAGGAAAAGGAAACTACAGGATTTATTCCCTTTACTGAGTTTCTCCTGAGATAAAAGTCTTTCAAAATGCCTCTAAATAGCTTCGAAGTTTTTGCAATCTAAGCTGCAGTTGGCAAATTCATAATAAGGTTTCAGCTTTAAAATATCCAATAACTTTAAAGTAATTTTTATAGAAAGAAATTTTTCTTTCTTTTTAAAAGCTATTTAAAAAAATAGAACTGACAATATTTCAAAGATCCAAGTGTAAAAGAAAAAGATGGTTGAAATAAGACACGTTCCCAAATATCTGTCAAAATTTCTCTTTTTAGTATAAATGAAGTCTTCAGTTTTACATAAAAACAAATATTTTGAAGTTATACATAAAAAGGAACATAAACTATTTTGTGAGAAGATGATGAGCTTTAACAGTGGTTTAATCACAATGTTGATGATTTTAAAATGTTATTCAGGGTAATGTTTTGAAACAAAAGTACAGCTTTGAAAATGTCAATAAATCAATTTCCATTTAAAGAAGATCTTTTTGTTTCTGTTCTGGATTTTGTTTTTAAATATCTAAATGCATTAGCTCTGTAACTTTTAGGTTAATGACACTCTAAACTAAGGTGTTCACTATGGAAAACAAAACTTATGGTTAATCATGAATGTACAAGACAATCAGAATTTGAAACTTGAATGAAACCACACTCTTAAGTCATTTTGAGTTGAAATGTGGGAGTCCTTTGTCCCTCTGCCTAACTTTATTCTCTCTGTAAAGGACACAGCCTAATGTTCATGAGGTTGTTGTTTTTTCACATTGTATTTGTGGTTTCTGAACATAACATTTTTAACCAATGAGAAGAGAATGATTTATTGGTGTCTTATGTCACAGCACAGCTGTCAAGATTACTCTAGTTCATCCAAAATCAAAATAAATATTATAAAAAATACAGATAATTTTTCTTTTAACAGCAAGGTCTGTACTTATAAGTATCTGGGTCTTATAGATTATTTCAGATGGGATTTTTATTTAAATTTGATTACATAGAATTTTTACAGTCATCAATTTAAGGCTTTCCTTAAGTTGTCGAGAAAATAAAAATTAAAAGAAAATCTTGATTGTAATAAAATGATTCCTTTATGAATGAAAGCAAAAAAAAAAAAAGAGAGAGAATGAAAAGCAATGAGGGTAGCATAGTTTGAATTTTAGCTCTAAAAATCATACGCAGTTGACAACATAGGTAATGCCGAGTGAGCAAAATGTGTCATAAAATTCTTTTTGCTTTTAATTATTGGGTACACTCAGGTAAAAAGTTATAATGCTATCATTAATTGGAAAATTGTCTGGCAATACATTTAATATAAGAATGTAGTCAAGGCCATGTGTGGTGGTAAACAACTTTAATCCCAGCACTGGGAAAGCAGAAACAAGCAAATTGCTGTGAATTTGAACCAGCTTGGTTGGTGTACATAGTAAATTCCAGGGCAGCTACATAAGATCATCCCCCCACTATTCCCCCAAAAAAACAAAAAACCAAACAAACAAAAAGCCCACCTGACTAATAGCAGTTACCACATTTCCACTTTCAGAAACTGTTTATGACTCACCTGTATACAAGTTTATATCTTCAAGACATAATTAATCTGAAGTGGTGATATCACTCTTGGAAAGCAGCCATTTTAAATTTCAGAGGACATCACTTCTTTGCTGGTGTCAGGACGACTCATTGTTTCTTCTAATCCCCTTTCTCTTTCTGTTCTCACAGAGTCACTTATCTTACAACATCAAGTGTTCCTGTCTTGACTGCATTTTTTCCTTATTGTTTCTAAGGCACACTCTTTCACTGAAATCTCAGTGTCTTGGCAGACTCTACTTTTTTATTTACACTTTAAAAGAATATTTTGTATAATTTCACATTTTAGCCTTTCTCTTTACTTGGTATCAATATTTAGTGGAATTATTTTAGATGAGTAAAAAATTCAAATGAGTAAAAATATCTCAAATTTAATATTCTACTTCCCTTTTCTATTTTTAATAACAAAATTTATATCATATTTTGGAAAGCTCTTCATCAAGAGACATGGTTAAATTATAAATACCCAAGAGAGGTCTTTGCCCTTTCAGATTATAGTGTGATGGTAAATATCTATTTATCTATCATCTATCTATCTATCTATCTATCTATCTATCATCTATCTATATCTATAGATGCAGATAGATACACATACATATCAATGGAAATTAAAACCAAAGAGCATAGATGGATTTACAATTTATTATTTCTTGAAATCTTAAAATAGTGAAAATTGAGCTGGGCAGTGATGGCACAGGCCTTTAATCCCAGCTCTCGGGAGGCAGAGGCAGAGGCAGAGGCAGAGGCAGAGGCAGAGGCAGAGGCAGAGGCAGGCTGATCTCTGTGAGTTCAAGACCAGCCTGGTCTACAAGAGCTAGTTCCAGGACAGCCTCCAAAGCCAGAGAAACCCTGTCTCAGGAGAAAAAAAAAAAGGACAAAAAACAAAACAAAACAAAAAACCTTAATTCAAAGTAATTAAGGATTCTCAATCTTGTCCCAGTGATGTTTTTTAAATTTTTCTACATGTTATTTTGCTTCATCCACTTTTTTTGCTTTAGTTGTTAAGTTTATTGGGATGATTATTAAGTCAAGTTCTAGCTTCAGGGTCAGAGTCCTGAACTAATAATATCTTAACTCCAGAATGAAAACTAAACTTACAAAGGTATAGGTATATTTCATTTTTACAGAGCTGAAGATTATAACTGTTTTGTGACAATAAAGGTACAATCCACAAAACACTTACCATAACCTGACCCTCAAGAAAGAACTCTGTAAAACTGACAATTGTGATATGTTCACTTTCTGCTCAATTGCCAAATGAGCAGTCAATAGCATCACTAGTCTCTAGCATCACTAGAGCAGACTTTAGCATCACTAGAAAGGTATCTGCCTAGAGTGAAGTAGATT